ATCCTCTTTTGTATCACTAATTATCTAATAATTTTCTCTTAGAAAAGCAACCAAAACAAGTATTTGCCTTTAGAGTTGGCTTGTCAGCTACCATCTTGTTATGATAAACCAGTCTGCCTCCATATTGGGCTCAAAAGCCATTTTCTAGAAAAGCCAAACTACGTTCATTTCTGTTTATAATTAAATCTGTTTTGCAGGAATTGGGACAATGTCCCTCCTGCAACCTTAACTACAAATGGTTCTACATTGCCTGTTCCAGGAAACAGCAACCATGCCTTAGTTTCAGGAGGTAATTATGACCACCTTGTTACGCTTACATTCTGCTTCTTTGCAATATCACCCACCCTGTGGCTTTTGCCCAATAAAAGGAAGTTGACAAATTGGTTTGCGCTGGTGTCATGAACCCTGTCTTCGGGGGAGACACCCACAGATTCAGCTCTGATGTGTACCCAAATGAAGCTTGCTTTAATTCGGCCTTCATTTGGGTTGGGTTGGTTCCTCGAATCTGTGGGATCAACAGTTACTGTTTTGCTCCTATCCAGACAACCCTCAGAGGACCGTCCTGGAACATTTAAATTCTACTCACTTATGCTGCCTGAGCCTGGTTGTAGCCTAGATGATTAAAATGCAGAAGTGTTAGCGTTAGAGCAAACGCTAATTCAGAATCCAGGTTTTTTTTTTTTTTTTTTTTTTTTTTCACCTGCCTGCATCTCCGAAGGCTGAGCGAATTTCAAATGCTATTTTTTTTTCAAACAGTTCCAAAACTAACAGAGAAGGAAAATTTTAATCTGTGGAGAGACTGCTTTTGCTAACAGATCATCAGCCAGGGGAGGGAAGACGAATATGCAATAAATACATCTAGTGTTCTGGAAGAGGCACGTATGAATATTGAGTAGGTATGACTGTGGATCAAGAGAGGTGGGTGGGTATTTTGTTGTTTGAGTGAAACTAAGACCTTCCAGACCTTCATTTTTCAATGCAAATTTTCCTGTTGTAGTTAGTATCCTACTAGTTAACTTTATTAACCTCATATAACCTATAGTCATCTGAAGGGAGAACCTCAGTTGAGAAATTTTCCAGATCAGACTGGCCCATGGACATGTCAGGGGGTGGAACTGTCTTTTCTTACTTGATGAAAGAGGGCCCAGCCCAGTCCCTAGACATGTGATCCTGAGCTGTATAAGAAAACTAAGGTCAGTTTGAGCCTGTGAGTTAGCCTCAGCCTAGGAGATTTCTTCTACTTCCCTCAGTGATGAACTATGACCTACAAGTTTAAGCTAAATATTTCTTCCTTCCCTAAATCACTTTGTCAGAATTTTTAAAATCATATTAACAGGAAGAAAACTGCAACAATTAATTTTTGTTATTTGTCATCCATTTCTCATTTATTGACTAAAAATAAAGTAGGACTTATGTTTGTTTGCACTTGTTTACAGGAAAAGAAAAGAAACAAAATTAAAAAAAAAACAAAAACAAAAACAGCTGTCTCATCCTGATCTTCCTGGGTCTTTGGGATTTTTTTAGACCCTCATTTCTAACCTTGAAGCTTGTATTTCTCACCACTTTTTCTTGTGTGTACCACAATAATTGTTATGTTGGTGTGCAGGCAATTCAACTGGCCTGCTCTCAGGAGCCTTCAGGGTTCTGACAAAGTTCTGTATCATCACCTGCTCCAGGTGCCAGGGATATAACCAGCTCACTACCCTGTCTCTCCCTCCCCTGCTCTGTTTCTCTTTCCCTCCCTGACTTTCTCTCCCTGGCCTCCCCATTTATCCTTTTCTCTCTTCTCCTATGCTCTCCCACTATCTCTGTCTGTCTCTGAGAAACCTTTGTTCAGACCTGTGTATAACTTTTAATTATAACTATGTATTTTGTCTTTCGCTCAGCACCTCTCATCTGAAATACTTGCCATTCCTGCTGAGTTAATCCTTCCTCTGTGATGTCATTCAGTTGCCTCATTCAGTGCCCTCCATTTATCACTCCTTTCTTTCTAACATGTGATCCGCGTTGACAAAGCTGCCCAAAGCTGGCTGAGCACATATGGAAGAGACAGCAGCAAGCTCTGAAAGAGCACCCGGAGAGTCAGCCGCTGGTGGGACCCTCTTTTATCAATGGCGATAAGAGTTCTGTGAGAAATTCAGAGCCACCCAGAACAGGGATGGAATGGAGTGAAGGGGCACAGGAAGCTGCTTCCATGACAAAGGTCTTATGTGTTCCAGTGACTGAAATAGCAGGGCTCATCACCATGGCAACATGGTGCAACCTGGGAAGGTCAGGCAGGTGTCAGAGTGGAACTCAATGTTTCCTTACCTTGGAGAGGAAGTGAAAAGTGAAGAGAGCTCAGCAGACAGGTGTAGAATCAAACTGCCACATAGCATCGAATAACTTTCTGATAACACCTTCAGTTAATGCTGAGAAACGTTTGATCGAAGTTTTGTGGACATCGCATACCACACGCCCCAAGGGTCTCCTCTCAGAAGAGAAAACCTGAAATAAGTAGTGCAAAGGGGAAAGAAACTGTTTGAGAGAGAGTACATACCTTCCGAACTGAGCCAAAGAACTCCAGGAGTACCAAAGCTAGGTTTAGATGACTCGGTGTGTGTGTAAGAAAACTAAAACTCTAAGAACATGCAACAAAAGAGTCTGTGCATGGAAGAGGACCACTCTTTCTTCCTCTTTTGGATTTTGTCACTCTTGGCGACAGTTACCCAGCCTCTGAGCCTCACTTTCTGCTAGTAGACAAAGTAACTGCTCAGTTCATCCCTAGCCTCTGTTCCCCATGAAGTGACATGGCCCTGCAACCTTGTGTAAAAGTAGTAAAAGCAGAATTATCAATCCGTGCGTGCGTGCGTGCGTGAGCACGTGTGTGTATACTTAAATCCCAGCTAAAAGGAACCAAGAACAAAGATTATTCATTCAGTGGGTATGTGGTTATCTTAGAAGAGAGACAGTGCAGCTCAGCTCGTGGGGACCTGGAGGGGGAGGCAGAGGTGGAAGCAATATAAACTCACGGGATAGAAATCCAAACTGAATTCTGCATCTGCTCTGTGACTTCAAAGGGACTTTGTGGTAATAAAAAGCATTCTTGCCTTCAAGTACATCCTCAACATCAATAATCGCCTTAACCTGTTAACTCATTTGTGCCCCAGTTTCCCACGATGCAAAAGAGAGACAAATAGTAGTACTATAGCACAGGATTGTTTCAAAAATTAAGAGAACCCACTCTCAAGAACAGCATTTCTGTATGGGAGAACTATCATGGAAGTGTTACTATTTGGGGAGAAGCTAGAAGTTCATAGTTTGACAGCACAGATTCTGAGGCCAGCCTGTCTTGCTTCAAAACCTGGCTTTTGCAGCTTGCTTGGGTGATCTTGAGCAACCACTTCCAGACCTCGTGGATTCACTCCTGCGTAGAGCTATTGTCAGAATTAAATTATTGTATGTAAAGCATTTAGAATACTTAACACTTAGTATTAGGTATTACCCTCTGCCTCATTCCATACTTCCCATTTGCATGTGTCCTGTTCCAGGCCAAGAACTCTAGAGGCACCAGCAGTTAGAGGTACTCAGGACCTGTAACCCCCAACAGTTTCTTGCCAAGACTTCTTGGCCAGCATCCCTTTTGTGCACTGCACTTTCCCACACAGCACACAGTGGGAAAAAAAATCTATGTCCCCACTCCCCCCACCCTCGGAGGGCCAGGCAAAGCACTTGGTTAACCTCACATCCTTTCTTTATGAGCCCCATCTTCTCAGCGGAGTGGTTGCGCAGTGATAGAAGATGTTCTGAATTAAGTCAAGAACAAAGCCACCCATTCACATCTTATCCACTTGGGTTCAAGCTGCCTTGAGAAACTCCAAAGAGGTCTCAGTTGGAAATAGTGCTTCTCACTTGAAAGGCTTCAAAGGCCTGTTTGAATGCTAAGGTTTTAGACAATTCAGAATTGTTTGTAGTTTGATTTTAATGAAAAAAAAAAAAAGCGTTTGTGCACAACCGTATTAAATTAATAAAAAGGATCAGCTGACCTTGTACACATAAAGAAGAAACTCTTTTGTTGAATAGAAAAGGCTGCAAACCTTTATGCATGCCTAAGTTTACGTTAAAGATGCATTAGAGCCCCCTCTTCTGGCACCTCAGAATATAGTTCCATAAATATTAAATCAGTAGCCAGATCAGAATACTTTAGTTGGAGCAGGAGGAGGGGGGTGTGCTTGAAATACTGTAGTTTTTGGGATTCCAACCCCTCCTCCGGATCATTCTCATCAACACACAGCAAGATTCATTAAAAAACAAAACCACCACCCCGGGATCCTGCTGCAACCTGGGTGGTTTAGCGTAGTGGGTTGATGGTGGAGTGAGACCGCCACCTGGTGGCCGTTTTAGGAATTCTCATTAAAAGGTATTCACTTTCGCGAACATACGAGCAAAATAATTTACCCAAGAAGCAATATAATTTACCCAATTAGGTAGAAATCAACCCAAATCCACATTTTTAAAAAGTATTTTTCAGTATTGAATCTTTTTTAAAAAGTATGTATGTATTATGTGTACAATGTGTGTTTGCATGTACACCTGGACGCCAGGAGAGGGCACCAGATTTCATTACAGATGGTCGTGAGCCACCATGCAGTTGCTGGGAATTGAACTCTGAACCTCTAAGGAAAAGCAGCCAGTGCTCTTAACCTCTGAGCCATCTCTCCAACTCCCCAAATCCACATTTATTAACTGTCATGATTTATCCGTCTTGGTAGCCATATCTTTAGGATGTCGAAAAAAGGACGGGGAAGCAAATCGCTTCCGTGATTGCAAATCCAATACAGGTTGTTTTGTTTATTTGCTTGTTTGCTTGCTTGCTTGCTTGCTTGTTTTTAAAACAGGAATATCTGGACAGATATTTAGTTCTCTGAGGGCTCTCACAGAACTGCCGAAGTCAAGTGCACGGAGTGTGAGGAGTAGCAAAGTCCTGTGTTTTTCATTCCTTACTCTCTGAAGAAAGGTTCCTAAAGGCCTCTGCAGCAGGGCCCGCCAGCACCTCGAAGGCCCTGCGAAGTCACTGTTGCAAACACGTGCACCTCTGAGGCATACTGGCACAGCGTGGAGGAGACTGGCTCAAGCACTCGAGATGCTCTACTTTTAAAATATTCGTCCGTGGCTAGCACTGCTTTTAGGCTCCCCGCCTCCAACCCCCAGCCTGCAGTTTGACCATCGTCCCCTGAAGGCCTTACTCGTTGTAGTCTTGGAAGTCTAGACCTTTGAAGTAGGTTTGTGTCTGTGGTCCCTTCTCTCCTCTTAGCTTCCCAGCTACTATGAGATGGACAGGCCTCCTGACCACATGTTCCCACCGCGACCTTGCACTGAAACCTCTGAAACTGTGAGTTCACATAAATCTTTTCACTTTTTCCGTTATCACTGGTGTTTTTGTCACAGGACTCCAAAGGGGCCCAATGCGTGTTCAGAATGTCCTTGTGTTCTATTCTCAGAAAAGACCCCTGTGACCAGATTTTTGGGTTCTGTTGCTCTCCTTGTGGAGCTCCTGTTCCCTCCAGGTCTTCCTATTTCCCCCTCCTTTTATAAGATTCTCTGCACTCTGCCCAAAGTTTGGCTATGCATCTCAGCATATGTTTTGATACCCTGCTGGGTGGAGTCTTTCAGAGGCCCTCTGTGGTAAGCTCCTGTCCTGTTCCCGATTTTCTCCCTCTTTCTATGTCTGTCTCATTTGCCTTTCTGAATGAAGACTGAGCATCTTAGCCAGAGTCCTCCTTCTTAATTAGCTTCCTTAGGTGTACATATTTTAGTATATTTATCTTATATGTCTAATATCCACTCATGAGTGAGTATATACCATGTGTGTCTTTCTGCTTCTGGGATACCTCACTCAAGATGATCTTTTCTAGATCCCACAATTTGCCTGCAAATTTTATGATTTCTTTGTTTTTTTTATTGCTGAGTAGTATTTCATTGTGTAGATGTACCACGATTTCTGTATCCATTCCTCCACTGAGGGACATCTGGGTTGTTTTCAGACTCTGGCTATTACAAATAAAACTGCTATGAACATGGTTGAGCAAATGCCCTTGTGTAATTGAACATCTTTTGGATATATGCCTAGGAGTGGTATAGCTGGGTCTTGAGGTAGCACTATTCCTATTTGTCTGAGAAAGCACCAGATTGAAGTGGTTGTACAAGTTTACATTCCCACCAGCAAAGGCAGAGGGTTCCCCTTTCTCCACATCCTCTCCAGCATGTGTTGTCACTTGAGTTCTTGATCTTAGCCATTCTGATGGGCATAAGGTGAAATCTCAGAGTAGTTTTGATTTGCATTTCCCTGATGACTAAGGATGTTGAGTGTTTCTTTAAGTGTTTCTCTGCCATTTGACGTTCCTCTATTGAGAATTCTGTTTAGCTCTGTACCCCATTTTTTAACTGGGTTACTTGATTTGTTGCTGTTTAACTTCTTTATGTATTCTGGATATTAGTACTCTGTCAGATATAGGGTTGGTGAAAATCCTTTCTCAGTCTGTAGGCTGTCGTTTTCTTCTGACAATGGTGTCCTTTGCTTTACAGAAGCTTTTCAAGTTTCATGAGGTCCCATTTATTGATTGTTGCTCTTAGAGCCTGTACTGTTGGTGTTTGTTCAGGAAGTTGTCTCCTGTGCCAATGAGTTGAAGGCTCTTCACCACTTTTTAGAAGCAACTATTTTGTCTGGCTATTTTCCTGAAGTTCTAAGCTTTTGCTTAGCAAAAGACAGTTCCCCAGGAACATGGGCACACTGTTTCTACTGCTTCAAGCTCAATGAGAAGTTGGCTCCGGGATTCTAACAGGTAATGACACCTCCTGCTTCAACCTGTCCTTAGAGCTAGCATTCTTATCTTTGAGTAGCAGCTGGTATTTGATGTTCTGAGAACTGTCATCAATAACTGGGCAAAAAAAGAAGGCCCCTAATGAAGCACCCTAGTTTTAGATGAGAAAGCGTTGTGAAAAAGAAGAAAAGTCTAAGGAGGAAGAGGAGAAATCTTGGCAGACAACGTGGAAACAAATCAACAGCTCTCACCTCCAAGCTGTGGTAAGCCTCTATGCTCTGGAAAATAGCAGTAATTTTTGCTCTGTGTCTGGCATCATGCTCAGAATTTTGCCAGTATTTAATTCCTTCACCTTTACAATAATTCACTGGTGTACACACTGAAGACAGACACTGAAGCAAACAGCATATAATAATGAACCAGAGCCATGAGAGCAAGCCGGTAGCTGTGCCTGGAAGGGACAGGTTGGTAAGCTTATTAGAACCTCACCCCTCCCTTGCCCTGCACCCTCTCCCCCACCTTCATTCCGTCATATACGCTCTCTTCTATCTCCTTGTCCTCTCTCCTCTCTCCATTCTCTCCTTCATGCTCTCATCTTTTTGCCTCTTTTCTTCCCTCTCTTGATTCCTTTCTCTCTCTCCTCTTCCCCTTTTTTCCCTCTCTCTTCTCACTCTTTGCCTTCCCTCTCTCTTTATATCTTCTTCTTTCCTTCTCTTCTCTTTCCCATCTTCTTTACTTCTCCCTCTTCTTTCCTTTCCTCTTCCTCCTCTTTCTTCCCCAGTCACCCTCACCCCGACTCTTACCTATACTCTTCCTTCCTCTCCCCTCTCCTATGGGAATGGATAGATATCCAACATGCCCAGACCTCTTAGGATAGCAAAGCTGAAGATAATGCATTGTTTCTTTTTGTAGTAGGATGTTCCCTTAGTCATGTTTTGATAAGATTGAGACTTTCTCCCCACCTGGATCATAAAAACATCTCCAGGCACATGACACAGAATGGATTACTTTTGCACTACTTTCTCCTTTACAGAGGGCTAAGTTCTGGACAGCTGCTTGATAGATTTATTGTTCCATTTTGGCCTTGTTATCTGACAGTGTTAATGAAGACTTTCCAATAACTGACTCAGACAGGCAACTTATATAAAGACAATGCAAAAATGGGCTGGAGACTTTCCTTAATAAGCTACAACTGCCTAGCTAAGCAATTTCTGTTGAAAGTGTCTACTTCCTAAAACATAATATTCTCTTTTACAGGTTATATTTATATATTTGTGCATAGTATATAAGTACATACATATATTCTATATATGTAACAAGAATAATATGAGTTACCAGAAGTCTTGATAATAGTAGCCATTGATGTTCAGATCACACAGAAAAGAACCACTCAAAAAAAAAAAAAAAAGCAAACATAGCGCTTATGATGTTTATTATGTGTGGGTGCTTTTCACCAGACAGCGAGACAATTCCTTGAATGCTGATATGGAGAATGAGCCAGAAGCGATGAAAACAGATTCCATCCCAGAATGCAAACCCGCCAGCAAAAGCTGTAGAGGAAAATGTCTGAGACACACAGTAAGAGGTGCTCAGCAACCCGAGAACAACTCCAAAGCCAACGTGTACCAATCCAATTATGATCTGGACTCCCCCAAGTGCTATTTCTGCATATTTCAAGTTGGTTGTTGTTGTTCCTAGAGCTGGATTTACTGTTGCCACATTTTCTCGACCCAGCCAATTGGTAGGGAAGATTCCTGGAGATGCAATGAAAAACAGCTTCCCATTCTGTACTTGGTTTCCTACGTATAGAAAGCCCAGAGGTTGTTGAGGATGGAGAGCCTTGGAACTAGATGGTGGGTAAGGAGTGGGAATGATGCCATGCATTCCAGGGTAGGTAGTTGTCTGGGAAGAAGTCACTATGTCCATTTTAGTCTTGCCTTCTGCAGCAAATCTTTATCTTCATGGCGAACTCCTGTTTGCCCTCCTCATGGCCACTTCTCATGACTCCCTTCTTTTGCCCCAAACATAATATTCTTTACACTGAAGAAAAGAAAAGGTGGTGAGAAAATTCAATTCAAAAAACGACTTCTGATTTCTAATTTTCCCTTGTCCTGGCTTTTTGGTGGAAATAATGAATATTCTTTGTCAACAGGTCTGATACCTTGTATAAAACAAAATACATGTATATATAATGGGGCATGTGTGTTGTGTGTGTGTGTGTGTGTGTGTGTGTATGCATTCATTCATGCATGCATGAGTATGTATACACCATAAATTCTGCTGTAGGAGATACATAATCCAGAATGTTTATCACTACTTACAGAAATGAGGAAGGACAGTTTGGATGTAAATGAAAGAAAATGCCATTGTTTGTTAATGTTACTTATTTTCCTCATATTTTCATAGGAAAAAATTTACTCATGTAAATACTGACTCACAAGTATTTTGTAGGGACACTGTCATAAAACCCCAGTGGCAGTGATAATCCTTAAAACATTAACACTCATCACCTGCTAGGCACTTATTCACTTGACTGAATTGGCATTAGTGCTGTAATTATTTCAAACTGCCCGTTTCCAACAAAATATATTCTCACCAAACCATGAATTAGAGACATATGTAAAATCAGAGCCAATTAACAATTTAGCTCCCTACATACCTCCTTACCAACAAATAGGACCAAGAGCAAGGGGGTAAAGCATGGTGATGATAATAGTTAATATTTATCAAAACATTTCTTCCAGGCTTTATTCAAGTGCTTTGCATCTATGGTCTCATTACTGCTTTCACAGAGTCCTAGTTTACTGCTATTGTTGTGATAAAAATACCCCAACATACACAATTTAGGAAAGAAAAAGGCTTATTTTAGGTAACAATTCCAGGTTTCAGAGAGGAAGGCACAGTGCCAAGACCTCAAGACCGCCTGTCACGTCACGTGCACATTGAGAGCAGAGAGGAAATAGATGTTGGTGTAACTTGGAGATGCTATGCTCACTTTCTCCACTCTTATGCAGGCTAGGACCCCCGAACATAAGGAGTAGAAAACCACCCATATAGGTCAGGTCTTCCCATAGCAATCAGTGTAATCAAGACAATCCCCCAGAGACATGCTAAGCTTGATCTCCCCCCCCCACACACACACACAGACATACAGACATGCTGGAGGCTAAGCCAATCTAGAAAACTCCTCATTGAGACTCCTCTCCTAGGTGATCCTGGCTGTGTCAAGTTGATGGTCAAAACAGAATCATCATACTCACTCCATAAAATGAACATTATTATTAACGCCATTCCACAGAGGATAAAGTGAAAACTTACAGACTGCCTCACTGCTCAAGATCACATAGCTAGTACATAGAGTTAACATTCAAGCCCAAAAAGTCCGTTCTCCAGTCTCTCAGCCTCTGTAACACTGACATCTAGGGCTAGGCAACACTGCTGTGGAGGCCTTCGTAGGGCCTGTTGATAGCAACATCACAGCTCTGTCCGCTCCATTCCAGGAGGATCTTCTGTCCCCACCTCCTTTGGTCAGTAGCCTCTACACTGTCAAATTCTTCCAGGAGGCTGAATGGTAACACCAGCCCATTTGGAAACAACTGTTCTTTCTGTGATACTTATTTTCTCTGTCTCACCTCACTAGACAACCTTCAGAAATACTTTAGTGACTATATTTATTGAATATTAATTTAATGCATAACCCTATACTAGTGTTTATTTTATCAAATAAATATATTTGAGAGCTGGAAAAAAAAAAGAAGCTCTTGTTTGGAATACATAACCACAAAGTTAAACTTTGTAGATACAACCGCAAGCAGAATGGCATTCAGGTACAAAGACTGTCACCTCTACTCTTCCAGGGGAGTCCTCGTATTTTCCCCAACCTACTTCAGAAGACAAAATGAAGAAACTTCTGATCAGTTATGAACTTCTACTGTAAATTTTTATTCAATTAACGTAGACAAATGTAGCCTAAGTTAAAAAATCAACTAAAATATAATTGCATGCGTATATATCTAAAAATAATAAACAATTCAACAAATTTAAGATTCAGAATTATAGTTTTCTGATATATATAATATTATATAATATATAATAGTTTATATATGATTTATAATATATTATAATATATTATATTATAATATATATTACATTATATTATATTATATTATATTATATTATATTATATTATATTATAT